ATACACACACACACACACACACACATATATACATACATACTGTTTTGGGTAAGAGTGAAAACCTCTCAAGTTTTTTATTATTTATTTTTATTTATTTATTTATTTTTTTTTTGGAGAAATTTTTGCTATAGGGCATGTGAGCTCACCAGAGAGACAGAAAACAAGAAATCACCCCCCCAGAGGGGATTGCCATGCTGTAATCCCTTCCACTCTATTCTCCTCTTGTGACTTTAGACATGCATGCACACACACTCAGTGTGTCTCAAGACTCTGGGTCGACAACTTGAACCTCGGCTGGCCAGATGGGAGTCCAGTATCTTAACCACCACACCACCTGCTGGCCCCTCAAATTTATTTTTAGTACTGCCCATTACCAAATTCATAAGGCTAGAAGGGTCTCTTTTGTAGCACTCACTAGATAATCTGTAAACCTAAATAGAAATTACGGACAATTGTGGATACTGTTTCCATGAAAATCAAGTATCAATTAATCGACAGAAAATGCTTCTTATTAACACAAGACCCTCATGGAAAGAATGTTCACTCCTAGGAACCAATATATTGGGTTGTCAGAAAAGTAATGATGCATTTTTTAATAGAAAACACAGAAAAATACATTATGACTTTTCTGATGACCCAATAGCTGGTTTAGTGCAGGTCTCAATAACTGGCCCACTGCTCGAGTTATTCATTTTAGCCTCTACTGGCTGCCTTATTTATTAAAAAAGAAGTAATAATTGCCCCAACAAAGTCAGAAGTAATTTATAAGAATGAGCTATGTGCAAATGACAAGGGAACTATCAAAAAATGCTAAAAGTATGTCTAATATTAAGGCACCATTTTTCTTTTAAGATAAATTTTTGCTAAAGGGTGCATATACATGCTGGAGAAACAGAGAGAGAGAAAGCGAGAAATCACCCCCCAGGGGGGATGGCCACGCAGCAATCCATTCTCCTCTCGGGATCTTGGGCACGAACACATTTGCACCTGGCATGAGTTTAAGTCACTAAGTCCAAGACTCAAACTGCAGTCGACTACATGGGAGTCCAGCAAGGTAACCATTACATCATCTGCTGGTCCCTTAAAATACCATTTTATTCTTTACTATTAATAAATTTCTAAATAGGCTTTTTTTTTTTTTTTTTGAGAGGTTTTTGCTATAGGGCGCATGCGCTCGCCAGACAGACAGAGAGAGACATAGAGACAGAAAGCGAGAAATCACCCCCAGGGGGGATGGTCACGCCGCAATCCCTTCTCCTCCATTCTCCTCTCGAGATCTTGGGCACGTACAAACACGCGCCCGGTGTGAGTTTTAAGCCACCAGGTCCAGGACGCGAACCGCGGTCAACTACGTGGGAGTCTAGTGACATAGCCAACTGCTGGTTCCCTCTACATAGTCTTTGATATCAGGTCACCCAAACAATATCATCATCAAGAATGAGTAGATATTGTAAACAGTTCTTCTAGTTTGTGGAATGAAGTATTTCTCAACAAATTCTAGAATCACAAAATCAATTAGATCTTTAAAAAATAATAACAACAAATAGATATTTCATCAATTTCATAACTGTCCAAAGGATCTTACAGGGTTGACTTGCTTACAATCAAACAGAAAGCAGCAGAAATAGAAACCAGTCTATGTATGACTCCTAAAACACTGTTTCTTCAGTTACACTATGCTGATCTTCTTTCATAGAGTTTAAAACACTAGTTTAATCTTCTTTCATAGAATTTAAAACACTAGTTTAAATTTCAATAGAGAAAGAGAGAATAAACTGTCATATTAAGGACATTAAAGGACCAGAACATTAAAACAGAAATAGTTCTGAGAACTGGTTAACTAATATATTTTATATAGTAGACCTATGAAGTCTAATACATAATCCTAATACTTATAAACTATTGCTTAACCAGCTCTCAGAACTACTTCTGAATAGTTTCCTTATAAAGAAACACATTCATTGACCTGTTAACAATTATATTGCATGATACTGCAAGTGCAAGAATATAAGTCCTGAAAATATCTCAAGATGCTGCAAGCAAAACATATAACATACATATACATGTGAAAAGGAAAGGCAGAGAAACTGTGTAAAGGTAGATCATAAAAATAAAGCATAACATCCCAGATATGGATGGGTGATGGTGTTTGATTCTAGCAATAAAGTAAATGTTAAACTTCAGGTCATTGGTATATCAAATATTTAAGAGTATCAGAAGGAGAAAAAAAAGTGTAAAAAAAGTATCAGAAAAAAATTAAAGTATTTCAAAATAATTCATTGACATAATTTAGTTTAAGTCTATTCCAATTAAAATTTAAACGCACATTTAATATAACTGTTACATACAGATTTAACATGTATCTTTAATTCTATGTATGAGTTATACAGGTTTATTTGATAATCACTCCCATTTTATACTCTTAATCCTTATAACATTTTATTTACTAAAATCATGATAAATTACTAACCGAATTCTTCTTTTGCTTTGGTAGGTTAACTGGTTCAAAAACGGAGATAACATTTCCATATGATGCTGCAATCTTTTCAAAAGAAAGAAGAAAGACAACTTATTATGAATATGTTAACTTAAGTATGAATCAAAAAAGCAAAATAAATCAATAATATCATTTAAAATATATCCCACACACACACACAATTTCACCCACTAATACTTGAGAATGTGAGTTTTCTCTTTTTCTTTTAAGTTTATTTATTTCTTCCATGTGAAAATGAGGGAGATAGAAACAAGAGAAAGAAAGACAGGTATCCTCAACAAGGTCTCCTGTTGTGCTCCTCCCTCCAGCCTTCCTCGCCAGCCAAGAATGTGGGAGCAAGCACCCAGTGTATACAAGATGATCTGGGAACTGAACTCTGATCTTCCACATGGCTTCAGTGTCGCGAAGGCACCCTATGGCTGTACTACAGCAGCTGGCCAGAGAATGTCAGTTTTTAAGACTATCACATCTGGGTTAGAATCCCAGCACTAACAACCTACTATGTAACTAGCAAGTTCATCTCTTTGAACATCTGTTTCCCTGTGTTTATAATATTGATAATACTATCTTCCTAACAGAATTTTTCTTGTTGTCATTTTGCTTCTGGATTTTGCCATAGGGCATGTGCACTTGAGAGACAGAGAGAGGAAAAGTGAGAAATCATCCCCTGGGCGTATGGCCACACCACAATCCCTTTTCCTCCACTCTGCTCTCAGGATTTTAGGAACACACACTTGTGTGTCCAGTGTGATTTTGGTTTTTTTTTTTTTTTTGGAGAGGTTTTTTTTTTGCTATAGGGCACGTGCGCTCGCCAGACAGACAGAGACATAGAAACAGAAAGCGAGAAATCACCCCCCAGGGGGGATGGTCACGCCGCAATCCCTTCTCCTCCATTCTCCTCTCGGGATCTTGGGCACACACCCACACGGCGTGAGTTTTAAGCCACAGGGTCCGGGACGCGAATCACAGTCAACTACGTGGGAGTCCAGCGACATAGCCATTACGCTAACTGCTGGTTCCCTCCAGGGTGATTTTTCAAGCAATTAGATCTGTGGTTGGCCACATGAGAGTCCACCACACGCCTGCTGGACCCTCTAACAGAATTATTTTTAAGGACTGAAGTAACATTTGTAACACCTAGCATATAATAAATGATAAATAATATGCATAGTAAATGCGAATTTTTAACATAAGAAAACATTAATATATTCATTGTCAAGTAGAGAATTTGACATGATTTAAAAATTAGTTTTGAGGTCATCTATGATCAAAGTTCACAATTCTGTCAATGTATATTTAGGTACTTAAAAATAAAATTTAGATCTGTTCCTTTGTAAAATCCCTAAGTACATTTTCTTAATATTCTACTTTATCTTTTAAACTCAGTCTCGAAATCAATGTAGCATTCTGTTTATAAGGTAACTACTAGCATAGCTGGAGTTGCATACGAAAAACAACAAAATATAAGAAATTGGATAGGCTTTTACATTAAATGAATGAATGAATCAAGGATAGAAAAAACATGATTTAGTGATGGGGACATAAAAGTAAAGATATATAACACATGCGTGGGAGAAAAGACTTACAATGAGTATTTTAAGTTGTTCTAAGTGCTGAGGATGTGACTCACCTGCACTGAGTTGATGTGGGAGGGAAGGTTTAGTCTGGGCCTGTTAAGTATGAGTGGGATTTCTAAAGGTAGCGGGTATTTAATTTTGGAAACAGGGCATGATATGAACAAGGCATAAAGATTAAAAGAGGATGTGCATATTTAGAGGTGGCTAAAGAGAGTATTCCTCAGGACAATGAACATGAGAGTAAAGATAGGTGTGAGCTATGTTGTACAAGGCCTCACAACAAAGTGAATAGTTTAACTTTTCCAAGATAATAGGAAGCCAAGAAGTTTCAAAACTAGTAAGAATATAAATGCAAATGAATTTTTTCAGGAAAATTAATTTTGTGGTAGTATAAAGAAAAAATAGTAATGATAAAATGCTGATGCATATGGTGGCAAGCAGCACTTTCTTCTCTTTAGAATTTATTTCTTTATTCAAGACAGAGCATGTGCATACACACGAGAGCGAAAGCGAAGGAGAGAAGAGCCCTTCACAGAGTTCGGTCACGTCAGTCTCCTTTCTCCAGCCCATCAAATCTTTGGCACTTGCATGGGTGCCCAGCATGTATCAGGCTGCCCAGGTCAGGGATTCAAATCACAGTCACCATGTGGGATCCATGAACACTTGAACACTGTATTACTATTAAGTCACCATGTTGACCTAGCATTTCTTTAAGGCAAACAAGCAGAAGTTCCCATGTTATAGAAACTGCACATTTTTGTCGGGATGCTTTAAATAATGCTTTGATAACACTGGTATCTGTAAACAAAGGAAACTTATCCTTTATTAGCATGATTATAAAATGGAATGACCTCTTCATTCTAACCCGTCATATAGTCTAATGTATCACAAAACCATAGCTCTTGTTTAAAATTATGAAGTTTCTAATGTTAAGCAGACACATGTGAGTCTGAACGGTAAAAACAATTTTATATAAAATTATGAAAATTATAGGGGCCCACAGGTGGCATGGTGGTTGAGAGCACTGGACTCCCACATGGCAACCACAGTTTGAGTCCCAGATGTGGTAGCTTGGTCGCTTGCTCTCTCTCTCTTTCTCTCCCCCACTCTCTGGTCAAATTAAAATAAATAAATAAAGATAAATACAATAATTTTTTTAGAGGTTTTTGCTATAGGGCACGTTCACTTGCCAGAAAGACAGAGAGACAGAAAGCAAGAAATCACCCCTGGGGGCGATGGCCACGCTGCAATCCCTTTTCCTCCATTCTCCTCTCAGGATCTTGGGCACGCACGCACACGCACCCAGCATGAGTTTAAGCCACCGGGACCAGGACTCGAACCGCGGTCAACTACATGGGAGTCCAGTGACATAGCCATTATGCTAACTGCTGGTCCTAAATAAATTTTAAAAAAAGATTACAGAATTACAGAATGAGGAGATCAAAGAAAGATTAAAAGAGTGCAAAATAAAAAGTCTCAAAGATTTTTATAGTACAATAAGAAGTAATAAAAAGATCCAAACAAGAGACAATTATAACCAATTACATTAAAGGAAAGGGATGTGGGAGTAACAAAAAGGACAACAGTACCAAATTAGTAAATACTGCAACAGAGATTTCTTTCATCCAGGGTATCTATAAACTAGGTCCCAAGCAGTAATTTTGTATACTGACAAGCTTATCAGAAATTATTAGATTTTTTTTAAAAAAGGTGAAGATTGGGTTAATGGACCCAACTCTTACATGACCATTTTGAGTCCTCATATAAAATATGCTGGAGATCCATGTAATAAACAATATATTTAAATATCTAGGAAAAAAAAGTTAGATCCGCCAAGTTCAGCCCATTCCAGCTACAATTATACATATTCCTGACCATCTGTGCGTACAGGATGTTATGTGAGCAATATACTACTGTGCCTACTGGAACACTTCCTCCATTATCCTACTACATACAGTGGTATTAAGCTTGAACCATCTATTTCCTGTTTTTCTTATTGCTATTTTACTTTGTAGTTACCTTTTTACTTTTTACATGCATAAAGTTCATAGTTTTTCATTTTAATTATAGACTTGGAAGAAATAAATACTGTAGACTTTAGAAATCTTATTTCATTTCAGTACCTTTCAGTAGAAAGTTTATTTAGAAGTTAGAAGCCATAACTGTTTATAAAAAATTAGTAACTGTACCAAATTATTTTTCTTCAAGAGTTTATTTGTAAACAGACTGAAAATTTATTGTTGTCCTTTTCTCTCAATCAGATACATATTAAAATAAATTTTAGATCTCTTCTACAGGTAATAAGCATTATATTCCTTTACTAACTCACAGAGATCACCTTATGTCTTAAAATTATGTAAGAAAAGAACTCCTGACACACTCTACATGCTTCTTGGAAAATCAAAGAAATTTATAGTTATATTGAACTTGAAACAAAGCAAATCTCTAATTTAACAGAAACTGCTTATTTCAGAGATTATAAGAAAACACATTCAAAATAAAATTTGAACAAATTAACATAAGATTACAAACCTTGCCTTGTTGCATTGAACAATCTACACATCCCACTTGAATATTTCCATGTTTAGCTCCTGGAATTATCTGTAATCTTTCAAAATCACTTCCCAGTATTACAATGTCACATCCAGATGCATAAGCCTAAAAAAAAAAAAATTTTAAATGACAACAGTATCAACAAAACATTTATCACATAGAATACTGTTTAAAATACTGCTTCAAACAAACCAATTTCAAATGTTCTCTCTTTACAAAACTTACATTTGGTATTATCTTCCTTGTCTCCCATATTTAGCCCATCAGCAAATTCTATCAGCCCTATCTGCAAAATATATACTGATTGTTCACTTTTGTCATCTCCACTGAATAGTTACCACTCTCATCTCTCTCCTGCACTATTGTCAATAGTATAATTGCTTCTAGTTTTGCCTCCTCTATTTCATTTCCACATAAAGGCTATTTTGAAAATGTTTACTGTACCAAGTAGTTTTCCCTGTCTAAAGCCCTTCAGAAGTTTAGCACTGCATTTGGGGTAAACTCTGAACTCTTTACCCTGGTCAGTAACCTAAATGACTATCCTTCTACAAACCTATTTCAGGTTACTCTTTTCTTCTTTCTTTCCCTCAACTGGTTTCTCTTCCTAAACTGCACGTCTTTCTTTTCCTTTTTCCAAAGTGGTTTAAAAGTGGTTAACTGTCTTTTGTCTGAGTCATGGAGAATTGGGAACCTTCCTCATGAAAGAATTGCCCTATCCCAAGAGTGAGCTCCTGTTCTAGCAAAACTGCAATAGTTACCATAAGAGTGGGCTGTTATAAAGTGGGGTTGCCCCTTGTGCTTTCTCTCTCATACTAGTCCACCTTTTCTTCCACTTTTCCACCATGAAGCAAAGGAGCATGTGGTGCTTGTCATATGTGGCCACCTCACCTGGACTTCCCAGCCTCCAGAACCATGAGCCAAAATAAACTTCTTTTCTTTGTAAGTTACCCTGTCCTGGACTATAGCAACAGAAAACAGACTAAGAAAACAGGCACCAAGAGTGGAGTTCTTGCTAATAACAAAAGCCTAAAACTGTGGAAGTGGCTTTAGAAACAAATAACTGGAGTAAAGACCATTCTTGTTATACGGATGCAAAGAATTCAGTTGCACTGTGTTTGCACTGTAAAGGATGAATTTAAGAGTGATAAAGAAGAGTATCTGATGGAAGAAATTTTTAAGCAAAATATAAAAAGAGCTGCACAAATACGTCTAACTGCTTACAGTGAAGTGAAGGAACACAGGTATAATTTGAAGATGAAAGTTATAACTGAAAGAGAAGTAGAGCAGGCCAGATCCACGGCCAACCACATGGTTAAAGTCCTATACTGAGCGGTTTGAGAAACAAGCCAGGTGTATGTGTGTGTATGTCCCAAATCCCAAGAGTAGGGAGAAACAGAGAAGAGAATGTGGCATGACTATTCCCCATGGGGTGGCGCTTTCTCCTCTACCTGACAAGTGCATGTCCCCTTCAGCAAAAAAGAAAAGCAAAGAAAGAAAAGGGAAGCATATCATAAAAATTTGGAAAATCCTCAAGTAAGCCATGTAAAGAGCAAGAAAATGGGCAAGGGTATAGATGAACAATTATTTGATAAAAATATTTCTACTGATAAAAGGGAGCCAGGTACTATGGGCACAAAAGGGAAAAGGAACTAATGACATTTCAAAGATCTTCAAGGTGGCTTTCCTGTCACAGGCCCAGAGGCCAAAGAGAACAGAATGCTTTCGGAGGATGGGGACATGCCCAGAAACTGCTGCCTACAGCTACCTCAAGACACTGCCCTCTCCCCCCATCCCACTCCCACCCCTCTCATTTGAGCACATAGCTCTTCAGCTACAGCTCAAGTAGGGTCCTATACAACTCATGCCACAGCTCCACAGGGTACAAGCAATAAATTTTCATGGTATCCATGAGGTAGTAATTCTGCAGGTGTGCAAAATTCAAGAGCTGTGAGATATGGCTTCCTCCACCTAGATGCACAGGCAGAAACCTGCCACAAGGTAGAGCCACCACAGAAATGTCTCACTACAATGCCAAGTGGAGTCATGAAATGCCCTTGGACTCCACAGTGGTAGAGCTACCCAAGAGAACTGCTATATGAACTGAGCCCAACAAAGCCACAACAGTGATAATGTCCAGCATACTGGGTACCAAATCTCCTCACACATCCAGGAGATGGTATGTGGAAGGAATCATTCCCCTGGAGCTTTAGGATTTAATGTCTGCACTTTTGGTTTTAGACTCGCTAAGGGTCTGTTAATTCTTTCTTTTGGAATATTCTCCATTTTGGAATAGGAATATTTACCCTATGCCTTTCCCACCACTGTATTATAAAAGTATATCATTGTTTTTATTTCACAGGCTGGACTTTAGAGTTTTGAGTTGGTGCCAAAATAAGTTAAGACTTTTGGGACTATTGAGATAGGATGATTGCATTTTATGTGTAAAAAGACATTTGTTTTGAGGAGCCAAAGGCAGAATAAATAGTATGAATGTGGTTCATTTGCACCAAAACTCATAAAAGCCTGGTCCCCAAAGTAATGGTTTTGAGAGGTGGTGAAACCCATATTGATAGAAGCTCATCATTTCTTATAGCTGCATAATATCCCATAGTGTATATGTGCAAATTTTTCAACCCAATCATCAGTTTTTGGACACTTAGGTTAATTGCATGTTTTATCTATTGTAAATAATGCTGCAATAAACATGATGTGCAAGTGTCTTTCCAATTAAGTGCGTTACTATCCTTTGGGTAAATACAAAAGGTGGAATTACTAGGTCGTATGGAAATTCTACTTGTAGGTTTTTGAGAAACCTCCATATTGTTTTCCACAGAGGCTGGACTAATTTATATCCCCACCAACTGTGTAAAAAGAGTTAGTTTTTCACCACAGCCCGACACTTGTTCTTTATTTTTTTGGATCTGAGTCATTCTAACTGGGGTTAAATGGTATCTCACTGTGGTTTTAATTTTCATTTCCCTTATAACGAGGGACTTTGAACATTTTTTCATATGTCTCTTGGTCATTCATAAGTCTTCCTTAGGGAGTTGTTTATTCAAAATTTCTATTTATTTTTTTTAATGGGCAAGCTGCTTGAGTTCTCTATATATTCTAAATAACAATCCCTTGTCTGAGGAATCATTTGCAATATCTTCTCCCATCTTGAGAGTGGTCTTTTCACTCTAGTTATAGTTTCCTTTGCTATTAGGAAGCTTTTGAGCTTGATGCAATCCCACTTGTCTATTTTAGGTACTACTGCCTGTGCTTCAGGGGTCTTAAGAAATCTTTGACTACTACAATGTCTTCAAAAGATTCTCCTACATTTTCTACTAGTAGTTTTATATTAGAGGTTTTATGTTTAAAACTTTGATCCACTTTGAGTTCATTCTAGTTAATGATGAGAGCAAGGGGTGAGTTTCATTTTTCTGCAGATGGATATTCAATTCTTACAACACCACTGCTAAAAAAGACTCTTTTCTCCACTGCATTGTCTTACATCCTTTATCAAAGATCATTTGACTGCAAGATTTAGAGTTTATTTTGGGATTCTCTATTCTGTTCCATTGATCTATGTATCTATTTTTGTGCCAGTACCATGCTGTTTTGATTATCACTGCTTTGTAACACAAAGTCAGGTAGTGAGAAGCCCCCTAGTTTATTTTTTTGATACAGTATTCCTTGGCAATACAAGAAGGTCTTTTAAGATTTCAAAGTTAGTAGTTTTTTGTTTGTTTGTTTGTTTGTTTCTATTTCTGTGAAGAATGTCTCAGGTAACTGAATCACAATAACAATGAATATGTAAATTAGTTTGAGTAGAACAGATGTTTTGATTATACTGATTCTTCCAATCCAAGAGCATGGGATATCCTTTCATTTTTTCATATACTCAATTTCTTTTGCCAATGTTTCATAGTTGTCCTTGTAGAGGTCTTTCACCTCTTTGGTTATATTTATTCCTGGGTATCTTATTTGTTTTTGTAGCTTTTATAAATGGGATTGCTCTCTTCAATTCTGTCTCATTGTTGGTGTATAAAACAGTTGTAATTTTTTAAGGTTCACTTTGTATCCTGTAACTTCACGGAATTCATTTATCACTTCTAGAAGAATCTGTAGTAGATTCTTCTGGATTTTCTAAGTATATAATCATATGGTCCACAAATAGAGACAGTTTAGCTTCTTTTTCTATCTGACTGTTATTTTGCCCTCTTGTCCGAATGCATTGGCTAGGATGTCCACCACTATGTTAAAAAGGAGTGGAGAGAGTGGGCAGCCTTATCTTTTCCCAGTTTTTAATGAAAAGGTTGTTTGGGTTTTTTTTAACTATTTTGGATACTTTTAAAATTTTTGGATAGATTTTTGCTTCAGGGCATGTGCACTTGCCAGAGAAAGAGACAAAGAGAAAAATAGTGAGAAATCACCACCCAGGGGGATGGCCATGCCACAATCCATTCTCTTCTTAGGATTCTGGGCATGCACGCACATGCATCTGCATGAATTTTAAGTTGCCGGGTCTGGGACTCGAACTGTGGTCAACCATATAGGAGTCAAGTGCCTCAACCACTATGCCACCTGATGGCACAGAGAAGGCTTTTAGCTTTTCTCCATTCAGTATGATGTTTGCAGTGGGTCTGTCGTATATTGCTTTTATTATGTTGAGGAATGTCCCTTCTAAGCCTATTTTCCTCAGAGTTTTGATCATAAAGAGATGCTGTATTCTGTCGAATGCTTTTTCTGTACTTATAGATATAATTGTATGATTTTTATCTTTCTTTCTGTTAATGTAATGTACTACTTTTTTTTTTCAATGTATGTTAAATGCATGCTTGCATCCCTGAAATAAAGCCTATCTGGTCATGGTATATAATCTCCTTGATATGTTGTTGGATTCAGTTTGCTAGTATCCTATTTAACATTTCTGTATTAGTATTAATCAGGGATCTTGGTCTAAAGTTTTCTTTTTGTTATGTCCTAGTCTGGTTTTGGTATCAAGTAATAGAGGTATCATAAAATGAGTTTGGGAGGATTCCTTACCATTTTAATCTTTAGGAATAGTTTGAGAGCAATTGAAATGAATTCTTCTTTAAAAGTTGTGTAGAATTCAGAAG